GGTCGTAGCTTTTCGCTCTTAAGTGAAAGCGAGACAGGCCACCAGTTTGCCGACATTTCGCCCTGACACACAGAAATGTGTGTAAAGGTTGTGAGTGTGGGGGGGTGGGGGAGTGAGAGGACCGTACTTGTTTCCCTTATGCCATTCTATATGCAGTGGAAACCATTCTGTCGTACTTGGCTGGCCCGGAACGATGAAGGAATCCCAAAATTGCATTCCAACTTGAAACAAGAGGTCTGACCGGACATGTGGCATTCTTCTCGTATTTATTTCCAAAGATCTATGTTCACCTTTCCAAAAATATCTCGTTGTATTAATATTTCAATCGATCCGGGTCTTTCTACGGAAATAAAATTTTCCATCACCAACGCCCTTTTTATCCCTCCTGCCCTCTCATTCTCTCACCCCCCGACATTGCAAAAGGACAGAGAAAAAAATGTAACTCACAGGATTACAAGTAGTTGCACGAGATTTTCACTCGTGAGAGAAGAAGAAAAATCCGTGACTGAGGGGTTGCGTTCAAGGGGTCGCTATGACGACAGACTTGACGGAAGAAAGGGACACTACCCTTCCATTTGAACAGCACCCCATCTTTTTTTTTTTCTCCAACACCGGTAGCACCAGCCTCTTCTCTCTTGCGTCAAGTGATTCCATCTCGTGTTCATTCCTCTTTCCCTCTCGCTTTGCCCGGCCTCTCTGAAAATCTGTTGAGAAATGTACCTACGTCACTCGACGGATCCACAGGTTTTGCTTGAATTTCACCCCACGTTTTCATACCCCAGCTGAGCCAACCTCCCCTCCACACATCCCCTCGTCAGATGCATCTTTCAGCCTCTGCAGGTATCAACAAAGAGAGAGGGTGAAAAATTTTTCGGTTCCCTCTCGACTCATTGATCCTCATCCCCTAGGCGTCTGCCTCTTTGACGTGGCGGGAAAAATTATACACCCCGATGAAGGGTCGACTGGAGTCAACGAAAATTTGCTCGATTGCAGTTTTTCAATGGGGGTGAAACATCACAAGTCGATGGGGGAGAATTATTGAGAAATATTTTCAACTGAGTCTTTGAAAATTCCATTATAAATCCCAAACGACCGACAAATTGTCTGGGTTAAATCGAGGGTCAAACAGAGGGTTAACATTTCGAGGGGGTGAATAAAAATGGTGTGGGTAAAAAAAAATTTCTACCCTTCCGAGCGGAATTAACTGAAATTCATGTTCCGAGCTGGTTTTAAAATCTTTTGTACGTCCCGTCGTATTCGTAACCGCGTGGAATCGTTAATATTCATGGATTCCCCACAAAAAAAAGAGCGAGAACGAAGGTGAAAGAAAAAAATATATATAAAAGGAAGAGAAAGGAAGGGGTCGGTGGTTGGGGGTTGGTTGGCTCGGATAGCGCTTATCTTATCCCCACCCAAATTCCCTCTGCACTGAAATAACTCGATAGTCTCCGAGGCGACTCCTGACTCGACGATTTTCTCATCTCTATCCCTTCCTCATTTCACCTCTCCACCCCTCATCCCTACCCCTCCTCCACCGCTTTAAATCGCATTCGGTCCAACGATAGCGGATGAAAATTTTGGGGTTGAAAATGACTTGGCAGTATTGAGAATTTCTCCAGTTTCTTTTTCATTTTTTCATGGTGAAAAAAAAAAATTCTAGATATGCGCATTTGGGATTGGAACGAATGGAGATAAAAATTGAGAATGGGGTGAATGTAAACATGAGTGAAATAAAATGAAAATAAATTGGGAATGAAATAGAAGAGATTCCACCTGTTGATATAAATTCACATGGGGACTTGTAAATATTTCTGAGAGGGGTGAATGCTGTTTTTATTTCTCTCGCGAGGGTAGGGAGGGGGGTGGGGAGAGGGGGGAGGGAGCTAAATTGCGGGTTCCCTCTGATAACGCGTAATTTTTCGTGCTCGATTAATCTTATCGTTGAATTCTTATTGAGACGTTAATGCAAACGAGGTATAATTGAATATTCAGAGGAGAATAGATTGCGAAAGTTGCCGACAAGAAACAACCGAATGCTCGTAATATATAGCAACCCCTTCGCATGTATTTAGCCAATAGTCCAGGCAATACTCTGTAGGTACTGTCGAGTTAAGTAACTGCTTGGTACTTACCCCAGTAAGTTTCAAGCGCAATGAGACTGTCTGGCATAAATACCCGTGGAAAATGTTTCTAAATGCACTGTACAAGGGAGAGAGAGAGAGAGAGGCAAGTACAGCAGTTTGAAACCGCAGGTGAAATTTGAAAATTATTCCATGATTATCCCTGTTTTGTAACTAAAATTAAATTTTCAAGGAGAAATAAATTTCATGGGCTGAATTATTTTTACCCTGAGGTGAAATTTCCACGAAAAATTGTTTTACATTTTTTTTTTAAATTGGGGTGAATATTTTTTGTGATAAGTCGGGGGTGGTATCACGAGAAAGTGAAAATTGTAGGTTCAAACGAGATATCGAATACATTTTGGGTAGGAGTGGAGGGGGAAGGGGTGGAAGGGGTGGAAGGGGTGGAAGGGATGGAAGGGGTGGAATGAAGGGTGGGAGGTACCGGATCACTATTAAAACCCGATAGGACACGATGGTTGCATCCAGGGTGAGTTGATCCAGCGTTTCGTTATCTCCGGGGGTTGTGAACTGCCCCTGGAACATACCACCATAGGACACATGCACAATCGATGGAATTGTTACTGACGCAATGGAATGGCCTTGCCAGTGTGTCAGATAAACTCAGGAGAGGGTTTGGCATGGCCATTTTCACCCCCGTCAAAAATGTTCTCGACGCTATTTCCCACGATATTTACGTCTTTTATGTGGCCCCTCGCTTTATGTTACCATCAGATCCTCGTAAACTTTATCATTTTTTTTTCCACTGCCCGATAAACGCATTTTATCTCGAATTAATTTTCACTGTCGAGATTTTTTTTTTTTTTGAAATGGAAAAATATTTGAAGGATAAAACGAGTCACCAAGATTTCGGGAGGGGGGGGAAAATCCAGTGTCACTGCGATTGACACTTCCATCGCAATAAAAACGTGCGAAAAAGGTCAATGTGAGGATAAAAAAAAAAACACCTATATGCTTTCATGTTTGGTGTTTTTAATGTTGATTGGACGACTGCCGATTCAGCGGACGTTCGTTTGTCCCTGATTCTGTCGCTAGTAGAGTGTACAACGCGTTGGGAATTTCCATTCTCTTTTTTTTTTCATCTCAAAAAAAAAAAGCAAGAAAACAAAAATTCAAAAAAGGCCGGCGAATGGTCACGCGCCCGTTCCACGATATCGTCTACCGTGAAAATATCGAAAACGTGCCGCTAACGAGACGTGACTCGCCTACCCACACGTTGGGGGGATGTTTTTTAGGTATGTAGCAAGCCCACGGGATGTGTCCGAGTCAAAATCAAAAAGTCCGGGACGAAAAATAAAAATTGTCGAGCAAAAAAAAAATCACCGGGGGAAGTAATTTGCATCATTACGCGGAGAATGAAAATGTCATTTGCAAGAATTTTCAGTGGAAACTTTTGACTAGTCGCGGAAAAGTACATGGTCATTTTTTGCAATGGACATGATGGGTGGGGGAGAGAGGGGGGTAACATGGTCCTGTTAATTTGAGTAGCGGTGGAGTGGACAGGACTGCCCCGTGTTCACGCCAAGGTGAAACCGGATGACTTCACACCCTCCAACCCCTTTCCAACACATATATACACGTGACAAATTAAATGATCCCAGTGTACACACGAACATTTCCAGGTACATCAGATAGGGGTGATTGTTTAATTAATATTACGCACGGCGTCGAGCTGAATTTCAGTTAATTGATCAAGGGAATTCATCTCCAGCTCAAAATAATGCACCGCCATGTTTTCTCAATTTTTTCACCTCCGAATGGAAGATTGTAATTGGCTAAATTTAAGTTTCCCATTTTTTGTCAATATGAATGGGTGTGTGTGTGTTATTTTTTCTTCATTCATTTTCTTTGATTGCTCACCCTCATCTCTACCTAATTGAATCTTTTTTTCTCAAATATCTCAAATTGATTTCGCCCATCCATTTTCTTTAGTTTCTACTTTTTCGGAAATTCCGGTTTTTCACGCAAACTCAAAAAAAATATACGAATCAATTAAATAACGGCTGAAAAAAAATTTCTGATGTCGTCTTGACAGAGTTCCAAGATGAAGGTCCCAGCAGCAATAGTTTTTTCAAATTTCTTCAAAATTCCACTTTTGGCGGTAAAAAAAATTTATTTAAACACCATTAACCTAAATCCTAGGTCATAAAAGTCCATTGTTACCGAATCATTAAATTTAATGAAACAAAAATGAAAACTCATCTACAAAAAAAAAATAATAAATAAAATAACCATTCAGAAGCATCTTGCTAATTTATTAGCAAAAACAACTATAAGATATCCAATATAAGATAAATTTCCCACTTGTTCTTTTCTATTTTCTCTTGCGCAAGAAATGATGAACAAAATCGGTAAAAATAGGAGGTGCCTCCGGAGGTCTGAGAATTTTTTCCAGAATTTTCTAGGTCGTTTGAGTATACGATTCGCGGAGGGATAAATAGAGAAAAAAAAATAGCGAGTGTAAAAAAAGAGGATATAATGTAGAGTAGTCCGAGAAGGGGTGGAACGGACGCTGGCATGGAATATTGGCGCGTTTTGTTACTCAGGGAGCATGTGTGCCCCATAAATAACATGTAAATATTTTCAATAACTGGCGTGGCAGGCCACGGGGCATGAAAAATGCAAAACGCTTCGCGTCCGGTTCTTCGGAGGCTATCCGACATTCTACTCTCTATTCTCCTATCTTCCACTGACTTTCTCGGGTTTAAAAATATAACTGTCCTTTGATATTACTATATACAGCTGTTGGATGGGCCAGAAAATTTATGACCCAGCCGATATTTGTAGTGTCGACAATCAGTTTAATGTAAGTGGTAAATTTTCTAGAGTAATTTACTATTTCTTATATTTATGTTCCAGGGGTTTTGGTTTCATCACGTTTGCAGATCCATCGAGTGTCGACAAAGTACTGGCCCAGGGTAATCACGAGCTGGACGGCAAAAAAGTGAGTGCAACTCTCAATTTTCAACTGGTCATGTCAAAAAAAAATAAATCCCCACTGATACAAATTTCCATTGGTTTTTCAACTTTTTGCGGAGTCACCGCGAGCATCCCCGGAAATTACCCCGGGAGTCCCTTACAAAATGCTCTGTGTCCCCGTTGAAAAACTTTTCTTATCCAGAAAAGTCTCGAGAGTCAACAATACACCGAGAGAGAGAGAGGGTAGAATCGTCCATTGTCGAATGCTTTTAAATTTGAAATACAAACTGTCTGACTTCTCCACTTTTGCCCCTATTTTCCTCCATGCCTCTAAATGTCATCTCTTATTCCCGTAGAAACAACTCCGCCCACTTATCCCCCACCCCCTTAACCCCTAAGAGATTAAAAAACCTCATCAATTACCATTCCTCCATTTTCATTATTTTCCCTTAAAAATATCTGGACGAAAGATTTCCAATTTTTTCCTGAAAATTTCGTCGACCTTGAATAACCGTTGGAAGGGTTACCCTCGTCAGTGTACCCCCATTTTCCTCGATTTGTTCTCGCGGAAGCCGGTGAATGGCGAGGAGAAATAAAAAAAATATATATCTGAGAACCGGGAAAACTCTGGCCTAATGCTTCGTCTTGTGATCTCCGACTTCCGGGAAATGCGATCCTCTTAATGGTGTAGAGAATCAACAACTACCCCCTTGACATCCGGATGTCTATTTTTCCTCTCGACTCCCACCTTTCGCCCCCCAGCGCCCTCCGAAATATCCTCGAAAAAATACCACGAAGGGTGGAAAACGGAAAATGCGGGAGAATGGAAAAATCCCAATGATTTTCCGGCAATGAAATTGAGGCAGGAATAGCTAGGGCGTGAGAAACGTGAGACGTGCGGTGTTGGTCGGAGAATAAATAATTAGCATGATCCATAAGCGGTCACGAGTGGAAAATGGAGGGCGATGGGAAAATAGAGGGACAGGAGAGGGGGAAGCATTGAGAGCCAGTGGTGCATATACGACTAGATATATATCGACGAATGAGCCAACGGCTTTATTTCGTGTCCCACCACATTTAACTCTCCATCTCACCCCCTAAATTAGCTTTTCCCCGGGACCATGGATTTATGTCATCCCGGTTTTGGTATGCAAAATATATAATTCACCTCGTTCGTTCGTTTAAAGATGTGACAAGTGTTTGGAGAACGGATTATCACGATTTTTCCTAATCATCCCCGGTAAAAAAAATTGTAATCGGAATTTTTTCCAAATTTTCCAAAAATTTCTAAAAATTTTTCCGAATTTTTTTTTTGAAACAAAACAAAAATTGGAAAGCAAAATAATCCTATTTTTGGGAAATTTTTTGGAAAATTTTTCAAAAATTTGATTCGGAAAATTTTTTTCATCATATAATGTTTTTTAATAATACTGTTGTTTTCTTACTTTCTTAATTTTTTTTTAATTAAAAATTTTCTATTTAAATTTTTGCAAAATTTTTCAAAACTTTTCCCAAAAATAAAATTCCTTCATAAAAAAAATTTTCTACAAAGTCTTCCAAAAATTTTTTAAAAATTTGGAAAAATATTCCGATTACATTTTTTTATCCGGGATTTGATCAGTGGAAAAATGAATTTTCACCCCGACGTGACAGAAAATTGAAAAGAAATTCAAATAAAACTGAATATCTCTTGGGTACTCCGGCAGTAATTGATTAATCACCCTCGGGCATTCAGTAATTAGTGGCAATTCGGTGTTGCCAGATAAATAAAGGAGGGAAAAAATGGCCCGCGGGTAGATAAAGACGTACGTCTGGAAAATTTGTCTCCTCTCCTAGCAACCCCTCCGATTTGAGTCGCCTTATTTATCTCGGGGGTTGAAAAAAGTCCAACCCTTGCTGGGTTATCAATCCCGGTGAACGCTTGAGCGTCCAGAGTCATTTCGGTGGTTTACGTTTATCTTTTTCGGAGGTTTTTTTTTTTCCTTTTTTGTGATTTTTTTTTTTCACCACCGAGCTGTATTTTTTCATTGGGTCGATAGGGGTGAAGGGTTCCGTCGCGTTATACCATTCCATCGCTCACATGCTTTTCTCGAGGGCCATTTCAAACACCACATAAGTTAAGGAGAAGATCGCGGGGGTGAGTGTCGCGTTACCCAGACAAAAAGCAACCCCTCGTGTTCGGGATTTTAAAAATAAAGCCGAGGGGAAAAAATCGGAGAGTGAATGCGTCATTTGACTGTAGTTGAGTCTGAATTCTTGAAAAATTAATCGCACGGAGAGAAATTTACATTAAAAATTCGTACGAGAATCGCTTCAAAAATTACTGGAAATTAGTCCAGTAAAATTAACTGGAAGTGCCGTGAAAAATCAATGACTGATACGAAAAAAAAAGTGAACCGTCCATTATTAAATCCGCTGCTACCCCGAATATTTCAGCTTTTAGCAGTAAATTTTACAATATTGAATGGACTTTGAAGAAAATTGAGGATTAGTTCAGTAAATTTTGTTGCCATGCGCAGTAAATATTCCAGAGACTTGCAGTAATTTTTTATGAATTTCCCACGACTTTTCATGAGTCCAGTGGAACACCCCACGTTTACTAATCCAAGACCGGTAATTTTCTCGCGTATATTTCTCTCCGTGCAGAAAAAGTTTAAATGAAAAATAACAGAATGTGAATTTCGTCCATTTGGATTTCTCCTTGAATGGGTTTGGAATCAGCGCAAAAGATCTTAGCTGTACTCTATCTCTCCCTGAAAGTGATTTCCACATACCCTGAAACTTCGATCCCCCTCTGGCAAGTCCTCAGATACTTTCCTAAGTAGCTCGGGATTACGTGAAAGTAACTTTCGTTTCCATAGCAAAGTGAAACAGAGAAAATACCCCAGATCGTGAATACACGTTAATGTATACGTTAGAGACCCAATTTTCACCAATTCCCTCTTGTTGAGGTGAACGGGAGAATGAGTGTAAATTTACCAAAACAGTTTCTACCTCGGAAACGTAAACCTGGAATTATCTTGAAAAGTTTTGAGTGGGAGGAGGTGAGGGCTATTTTAGTTGGAGAATTGTTGAGTGAAGGGAGGATTACGAGGAGTTATTTTTACGATTGTTAATTTTTTATTTAATCCAATGACGTTGAGTCTTGCAATTATGTTTTTCTTTAGTGGATATCTCTCGTCGACTTGGAGAGAGACAAAAGGAATGTTAAACCGTAGCTCCGGCACTTCTCCTTTAATAATTCATAAGCAATAGACTGAAAACGTTGGGATCTTTGGTGGGGGTTTTGGTCACGTACCGTCTTCTCACCGTGATTGGTACGAAATTTACGAGCCATTGTCGCCTGATTGGCCCAGCTTGTGCTGGGAATAATATACAAGGTGTTATCACCTCGCTTTTCCATCTCAGAAAAAGCCCCATTCGATTTTTCTAGTGAAACTGTTGGTGGAAAATTTTCAAATATCCAGAAACTCTCGTTCGTACATCAAAAATAATCTCCCATTTTGTGGTAATCACTTGTAATTTCACGAGTTGCAACCAAATGAAGGAGTCACGTTTTTCAGGCTTCTGTGCACGGAGAGAAATTTGAATGAAAAATTCGTACTAGAATTGCTTGAAAAATTACCGGACTGCGCAGTAAGCGTCGAACATCGCGACGAAAAGTAATGAGAAATCCAGTAAAATTTACTGGGAAGCCAGTAAAATTTACTGGAAGTGCAGTAAAAAGTGAATAACTAGTACGAATATTTCAGGTTTTCAGCAGTACATTTTAGAACATCGAATGAACTTCGGAGAAAATTGAGGATCAGTCCAGTAATTTTTGCCCTGCGCAGTAAATATTCCGGAGAACTGCCGTAATTTTTCATAAATTTCCCATGACTTTTCATCAGTGCAGTGCCACATCCCGCGTTTACTAATACAAGACCAGTAATTTTTCGTACATATTTCTCTCCGTGTGGTATTCAAGGGATTATTCTTCCGACCCAAATATCGCCCAATAGAATTGCACCACGAAAAAAAATTCATAATTAAAAAACAAGAATTTCATAACTGTCAGTTTATCGTGGGGTTAATTCAACAGAATAATGTTTTGTTTTTTATATAAACAACTACCAGAGAGAATCATCAATGAAATTCAATTGTCTAAAATTTGGAGACAAAAATAATCAGAAGAATTTTGAAAAACGGTGGAAAATAATTTTTATTCGGGGATGGGTGGGAGTTTGAGGGGAAATGTCATTTTTCTTGAGAAATTAGTGGGAAAATTGAGATAATTTGGTGATGCATGATGAGGAGGGGGTCTATGAGGGTTATTATGCCGGATGCACGCTCGCATTTCACTTCGGTCTGGTGGCTCTCCTCGTTGCTGGTGACACTTTGACGCAACTCCTGGTACAAACCCCCTGAATTTCCCACCCAGTCCAGTTTGTCTAACTGGACGATGGGTTCCGTAGGAGTGAGACAGCCCGTACAGAGAATCTCTGTGTCAGGCAGTTATGAGTTGCCTAATTGTTTTGTCATTGTTTGTCCACGACGTTGTTTCCATTGTCGTGACTCCGCACTTCATCAAAACTTCGGAAGGGAAATGAGGGGACTATTGTTTTTTTTTTTTCATAATTCAATTTCTTACAATTCCCATTCAAGGTTACCTATCAAATTAACACTCGAAATATTCCCGTGAAAATCACAACAAAAAAATATTTCAACATTACAAAAACAAAAAGACCACAATATATTCACATTATAATATTTGAACGTGTACTATTTTTTTTAAATATTTTGAGGGGTAGTATTATTACCAATTACTTGTAATCACTTCTGAATTGCCCGTTTAAAAAATCCTGAACTTTAGGGATAAATGTCGGGAGATAAAAATTCTTTCTCTCCCCGGTGAAATAAATCTTCTTTGAAGTAGTTGTAATAATTATCCGTCTTTACGCCGCTCACTTTACAGCCCTCCATAAAGGTTGCGTTTTAACACCGATATACCGTGCGGGGTAATTCAAATATGTTTAACTTCCCAAAAAAAAAAAAAAATCCGCAAACGATAAATTAAGTAGACAGATTTTATACGTGTACTCAGTTACCGGCACTAGCTTTTTGTCTTAATGCTCTCCAAAACGTGTGGAGAAATTTTAATTACAAATGCCAGTGGTAATGGGGGATTTTTTAATCTCTGGGTTGTAGCAAAGATAATCTTGATGAAAAAGTCTATCGATTTGATTCGAATCATTTGGAATATCGGATGATACAAGAGCGAAATGGAATAGCTCCCGCGGGTAGATGGAAATCAGTTGGACGTACCGATGTTAATACAGCCGAATGTAATTACAGTTGTGTTAAATTGTCTGAGATATAACGAGAAATGTTCCCACTGTTAGTTATTATTAAATTCAACTCCGGAAGATGTTGGAGTAAGTTTACTTGACTCAAATAGGGTTAATTCGACGTAAATTGAAGGCAAATACTGAGTGGAATTGATCTGCAGGTACTAGTTCACATTCGCCGTGTGAATTTTATCCTAGAGAATGAATTTTTACCGTCAACCCGAAAAAATTCGAATGATGTTCATCAATGGGTAACAGCGAGTTAAAAATTAAACGCGAGTACTGAATTTATGATGTCCATTGGGGGTCAGTTATTACTCGAGACTGAGCGATTGCTTTTAATATTCGCACCAGCTGCTCTCAATATTTTTTTTTATTCTACCTTTACCTCCGAAGATGTATGAGCACACGGTGAAAATCCAGTGCACGGAAATATTGAGGTGCAGTGGATTTGTCTTGTGTTGAAAAAGAAATAAAGTAGAATGCGGAGAAGTCGAGGAATTTGGCATTTCGCGAATTTTCGCGGGGGAAAAAGACGAGGGATTAAACCAGATAGACGTACACCTATTTTAACTTTTTTTCATAGAGACGTATTGGTCCTCCCAGAGGTATTTAACGATTATAGCTCGAGCCGGGCCGATGAAAAAGAGGGACATTTCTCTGTACAGTGTGTCGATAGATTTGAAAACTCTGACTTGACCGGTTTGTTTCAATAGTCGGGCTGTACTCTTGCCAGGAGAGGTGAACGTCGATGGTAGGGGGATTTTTTAATAATGCCACCTGTCAAAAATCTCTTCGACAACGTCAACGGCATTCGGCACAACCCGAGGGCCAATATTGCCACGGGAAACTCAAACGTTTTATCCATCTGGCATCTCTGCTGACACGCTCAACTCAGTCTGTAATACTTTTTTTTTTTGTCCACGGGGTTTTTACAATCTCGGGAGTAAGTGATGGTTTGTGGAATGATGGAGGAATTATGAGAGATTCGAATTTTCGGGAACGAATTTCGTTTTAAAAGGATAAAGACGAATGAAAAATTTGTGAGGAGGCGCCTCACCCGGACATGAAACCAAGTTTTAGCCGCGACAGAAGGACTTGGAGAAAAAATTGTCAGGATGTGGAGTGGAGGAAAAAAAGATGCTGGAAGGCAGGGGGATGCGAAGATACGTCAGTCAAAAGTTTCTGCCATACCGGAAACCTTTCAGCTTCCATTGCGCTCACAGCTATTCGATACTTTTGCGAACTGGCAAACTCCAAACGTGTGTGGAGGGAGGTAAAAGAGAGTTGTGAGAAAGTAGAAAAAGAAGGCCAAGCTGAAGAGGCCAGGGGGTGGGTTGAGAGGAGTGGATCGAAGACGTCTGTGCATGTGTGCTAGTTGAAAAAGAGAGGATGTACCAAAAAAGGGATGAGGGGGTGGTTGGGAGGGGTGAGAAAATCTCCCACTTGTAGCTCCCAGATATTTACTCCGATCTTGGGCCCGAGACCAAAGTTAAATCTTGAGTGACGCTCAGACTATTCTTCTCAAGTCTGAAATTTGTCCCCCAGTCGGCGGGTGATCTATTCAATCTTTACGCTGTGGCATTCCCAGAGGCCTCCGAAGTAAAAAAAAAATCCACAAAATGCGGGAAAAAGTTTGTTCCATGACTTCTCAGGCAAAAAGGAATAAAAAAATTCCCAGAATGGCTTAAAAAAATTGTTCACTCTACAGAAGTACGATGAAATAAACTGGAGGATATTTGAAGAGCATAAATAATTTTAATAATTGTTTAAAAACGCGAGGTGGGCCGCCGCCATCTTGACAAGTCCTCAAATAAATTCCCTCCATTCTCGAAACCACGAGACATCTAATTCTAATATCTAATATTTCGACAACTGGGAAGTATCGACGAATCGAATTAACGTAAATCCGATAGTGATGGGAAAAAAGTGATATCTGGCTCGCAACCCAAGGAGTGGAAATCGATCGATGAAGTAGTGGGTAAGGGAGATTGGGAATGAAAACCACGAGAATCTTTCAGTGAATTGCCCCTCTTTGCTATCCACCAATATGAGGAGTTTGAAGAGGGATAGAGATAGGATAAAAAGGGGTGTGGAGGGTTGAAAAAAGAGAAGAAAAAAAAAAAGCGTCCAACTCTGGCGTTTCTTTGGCTCTTTTTCCCCGAGTGCAGATCATCGTTTTCTGGGAACGCTGGATAGTTCTCTCTTCAATTTCCAGGCGTGCCAACCAGATTGAATTTCCATCGTCGTCACCACCCACACGCTCCCCCATACCGATCCCTGTCGAAATACCACTGCCAACAATAATTGTAATAATTGCAGGACATTCAATTATCTCGAGTAATTATCATAATAATAAAATTCAAAGATCCAACATACCTTTATCCGAGTGCCCTGGAGGTACCAGACATCACAGGGGCCCTTAAAAAACAATTCCCAACGGAATATTACCTGGAAGAGGAAGTTTCGCCCGAGGCCGGTGCACCGGCTTCGATAACCGGGTTCGATGTTTAAATATCTATGCACTCTACTTTTCCCTCCATTTTTCATTCCCATTCCACCGTCTTTCCGCCCAGTTTCTACGTTCTCATTTTCCACAGATTTCTTCCCCCTTCTTTTTTTTTTCCACCTCCAATTTTCTTTCTTTCGATTGAAGGGAAAACTGGGAGTAATGCAAATTTTATCGCGACCTTATTCTCTCAATTTTTTTCCCCTCCACCACTTTTCATTCTCGGGGTCGAGAGAGCACTCCTCAATTGTTTTTATCTCTTTCGAACGAGAAAACCTTTCTGTTTTCCAATAAACTCACCGCTTCGTTTTTTTTTTTTCTCTTCTCCATCTGAAGCACGTGCGAGAAGTCGACAGAATCGAATTACAAGCTCTTACCGATTGCCACGGTGAGAATATTCATGCAGTTATTCTCATTGTGATTAAAGTGACTGAGTCATTGAGAATGGAAATCGAAATAATGAACGAGCTGTAGGAAGTATAATCAAATGATTGATAACGATAAAAATAGAGAAGACCGGATCGGTTGGGGGATGGGGTGGTGGG